TCGTTTTGATTGATTTTTCGCAGGTGATCCACAGCGAGGAGGACAAAATATGGTTGCAAGGTTCCGATATAATTTTGTGTCCGACCGGCGGCGGTCACGAGGACGTGGATCGCATTCGAAGTGCACATCAATACGATCTCGCAACCGTGCTCCCTTATCTGCTAATTACACCGATATGGCTGGCTACGTCACCGTTGTTTCCTGTGGCTCGAATGATTTTACCCGGTTTCGCAATAGTTAGCATATCAAGCACGCTGCTACAGATGAAAATCGTGAACGTGCATCGTTACTGCAGCACAGTTCTGTCTCTCTCGGAACTTTGCATTTTAATTTACATGTCCGCCGTATCTGCGTTTTACTACGCATTCTGATGTGTTTCTGGTAATACGAGAAAACGCGATCGTCGCACTTTTGCGACGCGACAAGCAGCTTTTTGCGTTCGACGTTTCTCAACAAATAAATGTACGCACCATCCTCGATGTAACATCCGCAGTCTAATTTATAAGAGATGAAAGATATGAGATTAAATGCGAAGGAAGTTGAAGCTTTTATTTTATATTGCAACAATTTTGGTAGATAAAGAAAGTCGAACAGAAAGGAAAAATTGAATTGTTGTTAACGCAATAAAAAGAGAATAATCGATCCACAGTCTATTTAATTTGTGTAGAATTGCAGTGTGCGTTTGTCATCGGGTTCAATACGTGTCCAGCAACGCTCGTGATTGTCACGAGCTCATATTACAAACCTATAATCAATTCTTTGTCACAATCATAATTTCAAATATTTCCTTTCATTTTTCACACGAGGAATAACATGACTCAATAAAACACACTTGAAATATCTGGGTAAAGTTCGTGTTATACAACGCTCGTTAGCAAGCAAATCTTCGGTAACTTCCTGTGCGCACGTGGCTCATTACGTTATCGTTGTAACTATCAATTTCTTAGCTCTTAAGCAATTACGGTAGTCTTTGTTTTGCTATTTTTTTTTTCAATATACGAATCAACAATATGATAAACTAGAATATATATCGTTATCTATATTCATGTATTGTCATTCGCTATTACTTACAACTTATTTTAATTCACCAAAGAAATTAAGACGACGCGCCGTGCCTCGTTAACAATAAGTCGAGCACCCTTCTGCTTCCCAATTTCTAATCAGACATGAAAGAAACCGCAGAAGAAATTAATTACACTCTTTGTTTCGCAGTCAGCATGCAAGTTACACATGTTACTCTGCGTAAGAACGCGATGAATGTGAACGCCCGTACGTTTAAGTTCCGAACGTAAACCAATTGAAAGCAATGTGCAATATTTTCATTATCATTGGTTTTAATTGATAAGTATTTCGCATCTATAGATTATGACGTGTTTGATGCATTACGTCTTTTAAGGTCAATAGTCAGTTATTAAGTTAATTTTAAGTTCGACTTGTTCGGATTCATAGAGCCAAGGCATCGTCGAGTCGTGACTCAACTAGCAAGGAGTACGAATGATTCTTTAAGAAATCGATCGAAGTGCAAGTTGTCTAGTATCCCTGGTAAGTCTGTCTTTATTTTAATATCTAAATTGTGAATAATTCATCATTCACTTGTACGAGATAATGCAAATTATAATGCAAATATATCCACTTTTTTTTCTTTTCTTTTAGAAAACATTATCGTTATAGTTCTCTTTTTCAAGAATTGTTTCAGAAAATTGTTTGACACCTTGAATTCAGATACTCTTTTGAATGATTAAAACTTTTTCCGATTTGAAACCGGTTTGTTTACGTCAATCCTAGTTCTACGAATTCGAACGAGATAATTAAAGCGTACGTACGTGATTTTTCGAAACCTTGACTTACATTTTTCATTTCATTGTAACGGCTTATTTATTGTTTAACGCTTATGAATGTTTATAACTTTTCGCTTCGACTAATTCTTTTAGTCCGCTTATCTTTAGTTTACTTTAGAGTGGACTATAGTTACGCGCGCCGATAGTGCAATGCCTATCGCGCGTAATCTGATGCAGAGGAACGAATGACAAGTTGAAAAGAATCATTATGGACAGTGACAGTCGATTGTTCGCGGAGCTCGACAAAAGTTCCGTGCACAGGTTGCTTCAAATGGAAGTGTTTGTCTTCGATTGCATGTTTTTCTTCACGTTTCTATATCTATTCGTGTATTTAATCGGTCGTCAAATTTAGAGGTTAGGTATCCCCGTTGTCCTTCACTCGTCGCTAAAGACTGACCGTAGCTTTGGATTGCGAGCAGAATTATTTTTGATTCGAAGACATATAAGTTTACGCAAATTGCGTAAACTTTAGTCATGATTCGACGAGAAATTATGGTGCTGTGATTCAATTTCAGCATCGAAAAATGGATATAGAAGAGAGAATTGTTCGCAAGCGCACTTTCCGAAGTTTTCTGCAACGTATACCGCAGCGTTTGTCAGAAGTGGTGGAACATTTTTTCTACGGGTAGGTTTGATAATTTCCTTCCTGAGTAATATGAGAATTCTTTGCAGTTATGTAGTTTGATATCACGTGTTCTTTTTTCCAGGCTCGGGTTGCGAATTGCTCGCCGACCGTTGAAATGGATAATTGGAAGTACTGTGATAGTATTAATTTCCCTTTCTGGTCTATATTCTTTTCATCAAGAAAAAAATCCTGTGAAATTATGGGTTCCACAGGATTCTGATTTTGTTCGTGATACAGAGTGGATGTTTAAACAATTTGAACAGGGTTTAAGGATAGAAAATATGATATTAACTGCTGATAACGTATTAGAACCACAAGTTCTTACAAAGGTATCTATTTTTACTTGTATATTTTGTTATATCATGGTGCTTGTAATATGTATTTTGCTTAATTGAGTATTTTGCTTCAGCTGAATGAAATAACGAAAGAAGTTATTTCTGTACAAACCTCTGATCAAATTGCATGGACAGACGTATGTTTCAAGTAAGCATTCTACAAAACGTTTTTCAAACAAGTTTTAATTTGTGAATATATTGTAAAATTATGGATATTGTAAAAACCAAATTAATTTCTCTTTCCTTAATGAATAGAGTACCTGTCATATCAGGTATTGTGCATAGAAAAAAACGCAGCGATCAGTTTGATGATTTCTTTGACATTGAACCAGAGACACAAATTAATAACACTATATTTGAACCTGCAGTTCATGCTAGTCCTAAGCTCTATTGTAATATAATAAATAACTTGCCAAAAGCTTGCCTTTTAAATAGTATTTTGGATATATGGGAATATGATACAAATATAATTCTCCATAAATCTAAAGAAGATATCATTAAGGATGTACATAAAACAAAAATTAGTCCTACTTTGGGCCATCCACTAAACTTTACAGAATTATTGGGTGGCATAGTAAGAGACAAAGAGGGTAGAATTATCTCAGCCACAGCTGTAAAAACACAATGGGCAGTTAATGTAAATTTTTCAAAAGTGGATATGAATAATTTTGGCAACGATATTGGAACAGCTGATTGGGTAAGGTAAGTTTATAAAAAGGCCTAAATCATGATTTTTAAATGTGCTAAATGGTTTTGAAATGGTTTTAAAAAAGTTCAATAGAAATATTATTTACCATTAGATGATATATAGTATGTAAATTAATATTTTATATGATATTTTATATGATTTGGGCCTTGTTTTAATCTTTAAATGATTTTGTTAAGATCGACTTTAAAATGTCATATTTAAAACACTATTTATCTATAGATATATACGTTTTATAACATTTTTGATCTTGGACAGAATCATCAATTTAAATTTTCTTTGAAATAAATTTTGCATGTCTGTGTATGTATGTATATGTTTTATATGTATTATGAAAAAATTCCAACAATTGTTGTTTGTAGGCAACAAATGATGTATTACAATGGGAATTATCCTACTTGGATGTATTGCATAAGAATGCAAGGATCTTAAACAATGAAAATAATGTAAATAATACATTAGCTATCTGGTATGAAGCTGGCAGAAGTTTTGGCGATGTTACATTTGTAACAATGTTCGGAAATATTGGTATATTATCAATAGGGTTCATTTTAATGTTTTTTTACGTTCTAGTCATATTCTCGGATTATACATGGGTGGGGTGGAGAGTGAGTATTAAAAAGATGTAGTTATAGAAAGATTTAAATCGAGATAGAAATATTATACATAAAGAGCTTGTAAAACCAAATTTTATGAAATATGATTTTCCGTAGGTTTATCTTACAATTGTTGGTCTTTTGTGTGTGGGTGGCGCTTTTATTACTTCAATCAGTATATGTTCTGTTCTTGGAATTGCATATGGCCCTGTGCATACTTCTTTACCTTTTATGTTGTTGGCTCTTGGAATAGACGATAATTTTTTAATAATGGCGTCTTGGAAAGAAGTACATACACGCAAGTTGAATCGAAATAAGCCATTAGAAGAAAGAATAGCTTTAATGTTAGGACACGCAGGCTCTGCTATTATTATTACTTCTCTTACTGATGTTGTTGCTTTTATTATTGGTGCATCTACAGTAAGATTGAGTTTATATTTAATTTAATATATAGATAAAAAATATGTTTGTGTATGTCTAAATTTTATGTGTAATTTTAGATATTGCCATCTCTTCAATCGTTCTGCATTTACGCGGCAGTTGGAGTACTACTGACGTTTTTATTTCAAGTCACGTTTTACGTTGCCTTTTTCTCCATCGATGCTCGACGAATTGAGAGTAAAAGAAATTCGATATTGCCTTGCATCGTTCATGAAAACTTTGAACAGAAATTCATCAGTCCGCAAGAAGAACTTCCCGCCAAGTTGATAAATAAATTATATTCAAATGTGGTTTTGACAAAACTTGGGAAAATAATGATAGTATTAATAACAATAGTTGCAACATCGTTTGGAATTATGGGTACATTAAAGTTGGAGCAATGGTTCGATCCAGATTGGTTTATACCAAGCCATTCGTACCTAAGCAAATATATCAGTGCACTACACACTGAATATCCTGAACAAGGTTACGAAGCAATGATTCTTATGGGAGATCTCAACTATACCGCCGAGTTTCCAAAGTTAATAAACTTCGTGGAACGATTTGAAAATTTATCAACGATACAAAGTATACATCCATGGCCCAATGATTTTGCCAAATTCGTCTCGGAATATTTTCAAAAAGGTTGGCGATACTCTTTGGTATTAAAACAATAATAATTCAAGAAGAGATTGTAAGAAATAAATCGATAATAAAATATTTCAATCAATAGATTTGAGGAATGTAACATTAGAGGATGCGGAATTCCGGGAATATTTATCCAAGTTCCTATTTAGTCGAAATGGAGGCAAATATCAACGAAACTTTCGCTTCGAAAAGAGTTTAACGTGCGGCGAAGATACTGCACCGATTCTAGTAGCTACCATAGATTTTACCTTTAGACGATTCTATAGTCCTCACCAGTGGATCCCAGCAATGGATGAAAGCAAGCAGATGACGCATGATGCTGGAATCGGTGGTTTCATTACAGTCTGGAGCGAAGTATTCAGCTTATGGGTCACTGATAAATTAATTGCTCAAGAAGTGCAGCGTAATGTTTTCTTGGCTCTGATTTGTGTTATGGGCATGACAGCGTTGTTAATCGCTGAGCTGCAGACATGTTTCTGGATCTTCTTATGCGTACTTCTTACACTTTTAAATGTTTGTGGATTTATGTATTTTTGGGGTTTGACAATAGATATTTCATCTTGCATTGGTGCGTAACTTGTTGTTCTTGTGACAAAACTTTTGACACAATTCCCACAAGTGAACACAGTAATCGACACCATTATATTTTACAAACAACTTTTTCTCTTCTAGGCTTAGAATTGGGCATCGGATTATGTGTGGATTACGCAGCTCATGTTGCACACGCGTTTATCAATGCTGCATGCGAAAATGAAGATCGTACAAAGAGAGCACATGTCGCTGTGAGATACATTGGAGCAGCGGTTGTATATGGTGCTGGTTCAACGTTACTTGCACTTTCCATGATGATATTTTCGGACAGTTATGTGTTTCATTTGTTTTTGAAGATTTTTGTTTTGGTAATATTATTTGGTCTCTGGCACGGATTGTTTCTTCTGCCTGTTATATTAAGCACGATTGGGCCAGCAAGTCTACGATCACACAAAGAACCGGAATCTGCTGAGAAAGTGGAGGATGCAGGCGACAGTGTTACTAGTCCCTTGAATAAAGAAACGGAGAGTTAAACATTACGCCTAAGAGATGATTCTTTATCAATAATATTTATTTTTGGTTCAATAAACATACAAAATTATTACACTATTCGTACTATTAATCACACATTTATACAAAAATAATAATAATAAAGATCGGATAACTTAAAAACGGTATTATTTATATATATATATTTTTTTTTATCTAATATATTAAGATTAAAAAAACAAGTACAAAATAATGTAGCAAGGTTGATATAGATTTATTAATAATAATTATTGATCGGAAAGGAACATGACTATTATAAACGTAACGTAATCGTGTTGCTGGATGCATTATCTTTTTTTTTTTT